AACTCAGGATTAAGATCATTCTATATATGACCATCGGTAGACTCAATTAGAATTTCTGTGCTTAACGGAAATTATTAAAAATTCATATTGTGTATGTGTCCCTGTTCCACACAATCTCATTATGCGAAATACACTCATTCAATATCTCACTATATTAACAGTGCGGATAGCACCGTTCCATTCTAAATGAGAATGACATGTATTAATAATGTTTTAATTAAAGATTCCGAACTTTAATTAAATTCATTATGAACAACGTTTTTTATTATTATCCTTAAACATTATCCTCTCATATACAACACGTATATACAATGTTTAAGGTTACATAAATAATCACGAAATTTTCATTTGATATTCATAAAATATTCATAAATATATGCACATAAAATGATGAATAAACTCTTTTATTCATTAAATAATAAATATCCTATTACATCTCATGCTTCTAGGACACCATTCCCAACAACTACCAAATCCCAGAATTAAGAGATTGATGATGATCTCCTCGGGAAATGCAGAGGGTGTCTCTTATGTGTACAAGGCTTATAAATAGAGTCATGGGAATTCATTAAGTTTTTTACGCACACTACTATACTACTCCAGAGAGAGCTTGTAATCACAAAGCATTAGTGCATTCGCAAGTGGATTAGGCAAAGAATTTTAGCCGAACCACTATAAACTTGTGTCTTCTTTATCTTAGATTCCATCATTAACCTCTAATCAACACGTGAGAGATTATTACGAGTGTTCTCGGAGAGTTAATTCCTTGTTAACTGAAAACAACCGTCAACAATTGGCACTAGAAAGATGGCATCCCGTAACCCAGAAATCAATCCAGCAGAGTGAATATGGCTCCGAGAAATACTTGCAGCGCGACGGTAACTTAGAAAAGCCAGGAAGGCCAGAGCCATGTCGTCGGAGGAAGGAATCCGACGAATCCGCCCAACGGCGGCCAAGAACCAGCAGGGACACGGCCCAACCGAGGGGCGCAACCACGGGCCGCTGGAAACCCCCAGACCGCCTTGACCAGCTCCAAAGGTAGGTTGAAACACTGGCTGTGGCTATAGAAAGGATGGCCATAGCCCTCGCCGGATGGGAAGAGAGGCCAGATCCCATGCCGCCGTTAGAGGATGCGCTGATGAACCTGGTGAACGTCGCCGTCGGGAACCAAGTAATTGGTGACCGATGGGGTCAGTGACAGTGGGGCCAACAACCCCCATCTAGCTAGGTCGAATAGATCTGTGGGGAGCAGGCAACGAGCTGCCAGGAGGAGAGCCCAGGAGAGGGCCAAGGCCCAGACGGTGAATGACCGAGAGGTACCCCTCGACCGCAGGAGAACGTGAACCAAAGGAACGCGCTCCCAGTAGAATCCTTGACCGTGCGCGAAGGAGACCTGAGGGTACGACTGAACGCTCGACGTGACCGAGACGTGCAGCGGACCAAGGAAGAAGAGCTCGTGGCCGAGAATAAAGCTCTAGCCGAGAAGATGGCTAGACTAGAAAAGCAGATAGGGAGTCGGCTGAATAACTTCGAACAAGTTGTGGGGAAGGTGGCCGAGGCCGTGAACGTCAACGCCAAGATTTATATGTCTCATGACCACCCCTTCATAGAGAACATCATCCAGGTACCACTACCTGATAAGTACAAGCCACCACATATCCCCTTATATGATGGAAGGAGTGACCCAAACGACTAGCTGGAAGTCTACACAAGGCACATGGTCCTATACGGATACCCCGAGGAGGTCATGTGCCGTGCGTTCAGAAATCATCTTTCTGACTCTGCCAGGAGGTGGTTTAGCTCCCTAAAACTGAACTCCATACCCAGCTGGGATGACTTAAAGAACGCCTTCCTGACTCAATTCATAAGTGTCAAAAAGTACATCCCACCGAAGCAAAACCTGTCAAGGGTGTACCAGGGACCAAACGAGTCCCTAAACGATTAGATAGCCCGGTTCGGGGAACAAGTGGCTGCCACCGAGGGGATCTCCGATGAGGTAGCTTTGATGGGGGCCCTGTCGAGCATGAAGAAAGACACCCTATACAACACGAATCTCGACTGGAGGCCACCCTAGACCTACCAATAATTCCTGGCAAAGGCCCAGGGATTCATCAACGCATAGGAAGCCAAAAAGGGCCTAAAAAGAAAGGTGGTTGCTCCCACCAACGAAAAGGTGGGACAGCCGAGCCACCAAAACAATGGCAAGAAGCGCCGAGGTAACCCTCAGGTGCAAACGGAACAAAGGTACAACCCGGCCCTAAACAACAGTGGTGGCAATGCCTCGACGGGGCAGGGGGACACAAAGTGAGCCAAGCCACAGAAGTACGACGCCTACACCCTATTAACCATGGGGATCGAGGACGTCTATCATGAGATCAGTCACCTCCAGGTACTGCTTCGGCCACCACCGCTAAAGTCTGACCAAACACGGAGAAACCAAAACAAGTACTGCAGGTTTCACGGCGAGAGCGGACACACGACCAATGAATATTTTGACCTAACGGATGAGGTCGAGAGGTTGATCCGGGAAGGGAGGCTCAGTAAGTACCGAGCTGACCGACGGGGTAACAATAATCGGATGAACAACGACCGACGGGAGGACCAAAGGCAAGACTATCCCCCCAAGCCCGTCGGCGTGATAAGGACGATCTTTGGAGGGCCGTACCTTGGCAGCACCTCTCACCGCGCACATAAAGAATACGCAAGGGAGGCGAAGGACAAGTTGAACCAGAGGGTTATGAGTGTGTCCGGCAGAAAGGCGAAGGCCACAATATTTGAAGAGATCGAGATAACGTTCTCGGAAGCGGACCCAAACGGGGTGCATTTTCCCCAGAGTGATGCTCTAGTAGTAGAGGCCATGATCAGAAACCAAACTGTCTGCCACATCTTGGTGGACAACGGCAGTTCAGTGGACATCCTGTACGTTGATTGTCTCGACAAGATGGGGATCCCTCGAGCAAGACTGCAGAACAGCACACAACCCCTGTACGGCTTCACCGGGGATTGTGTTGTCCTCGAGGGACTAATAGAACTCCCCATGACAATTGGTAACCGACCACACACCTCGACTGTTATGTCACGGTTCTTGGTGGTGAAGGGAGGTGACCAACACAACGCAGTCATAAGGCGGCTGACGCTGATGGCATTAAAAACGGTTATATCGGTCTATCATCAAATGATAAAATTCTTGACCCTCAACGGAATCGGAAGAGTCAGGGGAAATCAGTACGAGTCGAGGCTCACATACTCAGAGACGGTCCACCACTACGCCGAGCCAGGGCAGACGAGAAAAGATATGAGGATGGTCGTGACCAACACGGAGGCGGTCGACCTAGATCAGAGACTCTCAGACAAGGAAACGGGAACGGGGCCAGTCGAAGAATTGATCGAGGTCCCCATCGACGAGAAGGAGCCTGCAAGAAAGTTGAGGGTAGGCTCAGAACTTGAAGAGCATAGCCGAAAATAGTTGGTAGCATTCCTCAGAGGCAACCCTGACGTGTTTGCCTGGACCCACGAAGACATGGAGGGGATAAGCCCGGACATAATGAGTCACAGGCTCAACATAGACAAGAAGTATCCCCCCAAGAGGCAAAAGCGTCGATCGATGAATGCTGGGAGGTATGAAGCTCTACGGGAAGAGGTCGACAAATTAATAAGAAACGACTTCGTCCGGGAAGTCCAGTACCCCGAGTGGGTTTCGAACCCTGTACTAGTGTTAAAGCCCAGCGGATAGTGGCGGACCTGTGTCGACTTCAGCGACTTAAACAAAGCCTATCCGAATGACAGCTTCTGCTCCCGAGGATAAATCAGCTGGTCGACGCCACAGCAGGGCACGAACTCCTGAGTTTCATGGACGCCTATTATGGCTACAACCAGATACCGATGTTCCACCGCGACGAGGAACATACATCGTTCATCACTGACAAGGACCTATATTGCTACAAGGTCATACCCTTTTGCCTTAAAAACGCGGGAGCAACATATCAATGCCTGGTCAATAGGATGTTCGCAGACCAGATAGGTAAAACGATGGAGGTGTATGTGGACAACATGCTAGTGAAGAGCAGGAGGTCCGAAGATCATGTAGAAGACCTCAAGGGAATGTTCGACGTACTGCGGAAGTACAGGATGAAGCTTAATCCCCTCAAGTGTGCATTTGGGGTCAAATCAGGAAAATTCCTAGGTTTTATGGTGAGCATTCGGCGAATTAAAGCTAATCCGGAGAAGGTACAAGTGCTCCTCGACATGAAATCACCACTAAAACTCAAAGAAATCCAGAAGCTAACGGGTTGCATTGCCACACTCACTAGGTTTACTTCGAAATCTACAGATAAGTGCATACCATTCTTTAACACCCTGAGAGGGAACAAGTCGTTCAATGGACAGAGGAGTGTAACGACCGGGAAAATTTTAGGTCTAATCCGGACAGTCCGGTATTTGACCGAAATTCTCTCTGCAACAAAAAGTAGTAGATTTTCAGCTTGATCAATGAAATGTTATGCAGAAACTTTATTTACGGGGTAAAATTTCTCGAAAAGTGTAAAGTTATAATACGAATATTTTTACAGAGAAAATTCATAAATATCAGTTGTGAATAGTGAAATATCGGTTAAAAGTTAGAAATTTTAGCGGGTATATTTTAGTTATGAAAAACTGAAATATTTGGTAAGTGACCAAATGACCAGTTAGAAAAAGAGTAGAAATATTATAAGTAAGGAAAACAGTAAAAGTTCCTGAAACAGGATTTTCCCGAGTCAGTTAAAGCGGGAAACTACTCAAAAACCAGTACCACGAGGGTATGCGTTTTGGACAATTCTGAAACAATTAAATGAGAATTTCAGAAAAAGAAAGTGACTAATGAGATACCCAAGAAAATTGGGTTCAACACAAAAAGTTTGACCCATGGTACTTGATCGTCCAGAAAAGCGGGTGAGAAATTATCGGTACCGGAAAGAGACTCGTTTTGAAAAATAGAAAGTTAGGTCTCGATAAGAAAAATGTGGGAACATAGAACCACTTAAGTTAATTGTTAAACTTAATTAGAATTAGTAAAATTAAATTATTGGAATTAAAGTAATTTCTTTAATTTAATTTTGAAAGTAATATGAGATATTATTAGAAATAGTAATATAATATTCATATTAGTCTTAATATTGGCCTACGTGGGACATTAGAAGCCAAATCCTATTTTTTCCTAAGTGTGGCCGAGAGAAGAGAGAAAAGAGAGAAAATCACGGGGAAATTCAACGAATCACCCGTTTTCACCGAAATTTCTTCCGTTCAATCCGGTAGAAACATAACCCGAGGCGTTCTAGTAGAGAATCTCAACTTTTAGAGGTAAGATTTCGGATTTTTCATGAGAAACTGCATGTTTTTCATTTTTGATGAATAGTAACTTATCTCGAAAAAAATCTGTAAAACTGAAAATCGAAACCGAGGTTTTGTAAGGGACTATGATAGGAGTTCAATGTGTAAATATTGAAACGATTGAACAAAATTTTTTGGATAACACTAAAAAATCCGAAAACCCTAGAAAGTGAAGAACATGAGTTTTTGTTCAATTTTATGTTAGAATATGTGTTGAGGAATATGAATCTTGACTCCAGGTACCGAAATCGAAAGTAGAACGAGTTATTGAAAACTCAGGAAACGAGAAAAACAAGGTGAAACTCTACCAAATTTCCTAAAAATGAATTAGTAAGCAATAAGTTAAGAATTCGACTCTTGAAAACGAATAACTGTTTTCAGGCTCAAAAATGAATAGATTAAGGTTCAGAAACCAAGACACACGAATTTGTGGGATTTGCCTCTTAAGCTAGAAATTCAGCCTAGAGGGGTTCAATTCAGAAATGAGTTTGAAATTATATTTAAGAATCTAAGTATGAAGAATTTCGATTTGGAATAGGAAGTTAATGCCTATTTCCATGAAACAAGTTTTGGCACGAGAGCCAAACAACAAGAAAGAACTTCCAGCAAGCAGGGATATTAGCGGATTATCTGTAAGTGTAGACATATATGATTGTCCGTACTCGAGTAAACCGTAATAGACTTAATATTATGAATTTACTTCTATTCCTAAGTCGATGTGATATAAAGTGTTTGGAGGGCCGAGTGTCCTAGATTGCAGAAGGGCGACCTATGGTTACCCTAATGCTAAGCATAAGGTATACATGGAGTATTATGCATTTTCATGTTAGCATGTGCACGTAGAGAAAACGTTGCATGTCATTCAATAAAGTTTTTAACACTTTGAAATGAAAACTCAAAGTTCAGTAAAGTAAGATACTGACGGGTCGTCGGCCTCCCAATGGAGGAAATCTCAAAGAGTAGAGATTCTAACTAGACGAGACAGTAAGCAGGGGCCCAGGCCCACAGTAGTAAGAACAGAAAGACAGAATGCGGTTTAAAGCATGTTTCACACAAGCATATTTGCATCATGACCCTTAATGTAATTTTAGTAGTTTATGATGTGTGCATGTTTATACTTGTTGAGCGTTAGCTCATCAGTTTACTCGTGTGCAGGTAACAAAGGTAAGCAGCCAGCCATATAGTGGTTTTGCTTGATGGGCTGGCGGAGGCAAGGGTGGTGGAGATGTCATCGGTACACGGGAGTGGTCTTTACTAGGTACGCTTAGAAAACAAATTCCGCTGCAAATTAATGTAACATAGAACACTAGTATGTATATTCAGTTTTAAGAAAAATATATTACAACCATTATCTTGGTAAAGAACAATGGACTGTAATAAGTTAAGACAAGTTTTCGGAGACTAGTTTCATATCCGAATCTTTAAAGTAATAGGAAGATATGTTATTCGTGTAACCACCTAACATGCTAGAAATGTGTTAAGAACCCGAGGGTTAAAGTAACAGCGTAACATGCTAGAAACATGTTAAGAACCCAAGAGTTAAAGTAAAGAAAGAAAAAAAAAGTTACTCGTATATAAACATAATTTAAAGAGACGATAGTCTGGTAATAAGTAATGGACTAGACTATAACTCAACCTATTTGTAATAGGATAAGGTTGGTGACCCGCTGCTAGGGCGGGAGGCATCACAGTTGGTATCAGAGCGGCGTTCCTACTCTTGCCATGACAAGTCCCGCACCTATGCTTATGCACCGTCCAGGTAAATTAGTTTATGAACTAAAACTGAAATTGCTTATTTATTTTGGCAAGACGGAACAAGTACTAATGGATCGATCACATCCATCATCACGGTTAGCACCCACATCACGAGAGAATACGTTGTGGGAACGGGTAAGAACGTTTCTAACCTCACGGTTCTGACAACCCAAGAGGTCGGTACCTACTCCCGCCAGATATAGCCATCCACCAGTGGATCGGGAGATAAGGGCTCTAGAGCCTATGGCGGCCGAGGCTGCACACCGAGCAAGGTGAGGCGTTTTGACTACAGGTTGAGCCGCAGCTAGGTTCTACACCTATAATCCACCTTTCTATGATGGGCTTTCACATCCCACTAGAATTAGGGATTGACTGCACCATGTCGACTACGTGATGCGAGCCTGTGATATAGCTCGGGACGAGTGGATTATGCTAGCAGCGAGTATGTTAGAAGGCAATGCCCTAATATTTTTACAGGCCTTGGATGAGGACGAGATAACTGAGATGCAATGGGGAGATTTTTGCCACATGTTGAAACATCAGTTTCTTCCCCAAGTCATGCCATCAGAGTCGGCACCACAGCTGAGTGGAGAGACACAGAACCAAGTGGGTGTAGCCATAACCTACACCCAAGCTCGAGAGTTTCTCATACAAGCCGAGAGAGCTAGTATGAGATTGGAAGAGGCCGTTGTAGCCTATATAGCGAGAGTCTAGATAGATGTACTAGCTCCGAATTAGATCTTTTACCTAAGTGAGGATGAGCGGTGTCAGATCCTATGGAAAGGTCTGACAGAAGAGTACCAACGTCGGTTAGTTCCACGATCGGATCAGACCCTCGCACAGTTTATCGCCGAGGTGAAGCAGTGTGAGCGCCAGATGCTAGAGGAGAAGACAGGGCCAGCAGTGATTAGGCGAGACTTCGCGTTTTCTAATACTCATATCAGGAGACATGATGCGAAAGCCACTACTTCTCGATAGCGACCGAGACCCGAGATAGAGGCAACGGACGAGCCTATAGTCGTTCGGCGAAGATGGACCTACATTAGGACCGTTGGTGAGGAAGCAAGTGATAACCCTCAATCAGATCCAAAGGAAGACCCCGAGGAGGATCCAAAGCAAGACCTTGGGAGGATCCCGAGGAGGATCCGGAGGGGGAGCCTGATGAATACTTACATGATGAGAATTGAGTTAGGGCTTAGCGTTGTATTAGTTAAAAAATGACGCGAGGTTATGTATATGGTATTGACTGAAAGGCTTAGAAGCCTTAACTTTTGTGATGTTTTGAATATGATGTGATATGTATGAGATGGGACATGCATATTAGAAGAACATATAGAATATATGTTTTGCTAGTCGTTATGAGAATGAATGATAGTTAAAAGTGTAGCCAGTCAAGAAATTCTTGAAGTGGTTCTTTTTGCACTTAAACTAACGATGTTGCTCTTTTAATCGATATAGACACAGCAACATGGTTCGTACACGTCCAAAGAAAACATAAGCAGAATAGAATCCTCCAACACCAGACCTGGCTCAAGAAGTACCAGGTCTCAGGGGGCAAATAGCAGCCCAAACTGAGGAAAGCAGACAGTTGAGAGAATTGCTTATCCAGTTGATACAGGGTCAGCATATTGGAGGAGCACCCCCTCCACAGGTTGTGCCAGCATAAGCCACCCGACCTGAGCAACCCCTAGAGAGGGTTGAACCCTAAGAGCCAATAAGGGGTGAGATGGGGCACCGAGTAATGGTCCCACGGGAACCATTGTATGTGAGGTTTAAGAAGATGTCACCTCCAGAGTTTGATGGGTCAACAGATCCACTTGAAGTTGAGGAATGGTTAGTGTTGTGGGGGAAAATATGGAGGACGCGTGGAAGAATGACAATATGACACGTGGCCCTAACTTCTCCTCGCAAAGCAACAACCCTCGACGTCTGGGACTCCCTTCTATTCCGTCACGAAGAGCCCAAACAGGAAGTCCAACTTGGGGTGACGATTTCATCTGGCGTCGATAGGACGTACCGTCGACCTTACAACATAGAAATCCCTCACCATAAAATCCACCGCCAAGAAGGACAATTGGGCTAAACAACACTGGCGACAAGGAGAATGCTCCTTGGGGGAAAGCCTGACGTGGCAAGTTGTGTACAGTAATGAGGGATGTCTGCAATGCAGGTATTAATTACAAACCCTTAAACCACCCCACGGGGGACAGAAAAGGGTTACAGGTACGCACAGAGCCGTAATAGGAGACTAATTGGCTGAGTGAACAGTACTCCAAGTGATTAGTGGGCTACGTCTGGGCCTAAAAAGGAAGAGCACTCGAGTGCTTCTACCTACAAAGGAAACCCACCCAGCGAAGGAAGCTCTAAATATAAAAGAGGCAAAGCCCCATGCAAAAGAGGTTAACGTAAAAAAAGAGGGAAAAAAGAGCAAGAGAGCAATTGATGTAAATTGTAATCATCTCAAAAAGAATATATAACCACAGTGGATGTAGCTCTGATTTTATAGAGTGAACCACTATAAAATCTCTTTGTGCTCATTTACTTTAGAGTATTATTCTTTCAAATTGCCCATCCCTCTAAAAACATCAAACACCTTCGGTACAAAACTCTTACATAAAACCTATATTAAAGCCGGTAATCCGACGGGAAACCTAGAGGTAACCCGGCCTGTTTTTGTTGATGAAAATTCACCGTCAACAATTGGCGACTCCACTGGGGAATGAACGCGTTTGACCCCCAACAACAACATAGTCAGCAAGCATGCCTCCAAGAAGAAGAATTGAGGCCATCAACCAATGCAGCCAAATGGACAAGACCGCCACTCATCCGATGAATGACGGGGTGGAGGAGGTTCCACCCCCGGTCAGAAATGAAGTCCCGCCCCCAGACGCACCGCAGCCGGATCCTGTGCAGATGCAGGCCCAACTAGCCACTCTAACCAATCTGGTACGTGAACTAATGACCGTGGTCGAATGCTTGGATGGGAGAAACTCTATGCCACCTTTAGAAGACGCCCCGAGGCTGCTGGGACCTGCCATGGCTGAAAACCTCAACCCTGGTGACCGCCCACATATCTTAGAAGAAATCGGGGATAGTGAGAATCAAAGGGGCCAGCCTTGGCCCCGACCTTCCCAATCCTCCGGCGGCCGTTTAAGGGCCTCCGGACTCCGGGCTCTTGAGGACCAGATACCAAGAGGCAGGGGAAACCCCGAGATACTACCCCCGAACCCAGGAAGAAACCCACCGGGAGACTCAGGGTCAGTACGGCGGGCAGGCAGGCAAGGGGCGGACCCAACAGTCAAGGGGCAGAGGCGGCGAGAGTAGCTGGCTCGGCCATCTCAACAGAGGAAGCACGCACCATCATGGAATGTATGGCCAGCCTGGAGCAAAAACTCACAGGGGACGTAGCAAGCCTAAAAAAGAACATAGGGCGGGTGGCTGAGGTGGTAAATGTCGACATCACACCTAGCCACACACATGACCACCCATTTACCGAAGAGATAATGGCGCCACCTCTCCCTGACAAATACAGGTCACCATCGATCCCACCCTATGACGGTCGAGGGGATCCCGATGATCATCTAGAAATGTACACGGGGCACATGCTCTTACATGGGTATGCCGAGGAAATTATGTGCCGAGCCTTCCGGAACCATTTAACGGATTCTGCCCGGAGATGGTTTCAGACGCTGAGGCCAAATTCTATCTCAAGCTGGGATGACTTGAAGGAAGCATTTTCCCTCCAATTCATAGGGGTTAAAAAATATGTCCCCCCAAAGCAGAACCTGACAACGATATACCAGAAGCCGAACGAGTCATTGAGAGAATGGCTTGCGAGGTATGGGGAAGCTGTCGCCGCCACGATGGATATAACTGACAGAGAGGCCTTGATGGGGGCATTATCTAGCATGAAGAAAATTACCCCCTTCAAGAGAGAGCTGAACCGAAAGCCCCCGTTCAGCTACAAGGAATTTCTTGCGCAAGCACAAGGATACATCAATGCCGAAGAGGCAGACGAAAATGATCCCGAGCACAGGTCCAACAAGAACAAAGGGACAGAACAAGGGTCGACGCCAGCAAAGTAGGATGGGAAGAAGCGTCGAGGCGGAGGAAGCGGAGACAAGCAGCCAGCTGCGACGTCGAGCTCTTCGGAAACCAAGAAGCCAAGGCAAAAAGAGAACCGTAAGCCTCGGCTGTTTCAAAGGTACGATTCCTACCACGAACTAACAGTAGGAGTCGAGGAGGTTTTCCATCAGGTCGGCCATGGAAATCTGCTGCGCCGCCCAAAGCCGATGAGGACATATCCCAGCCGAAGGAACCAGAAGAAATTCTGTAGGTTCCACGGCGATGTTGGCCACCACACCAATGATTGCGCCGACCTCAAGGATGAAATCGAGAGAGTAATCCGTGAGGGGAGGCTACAGGAGTACAAAGCTGAGCGGAGACCTCGAAACGATGGCCACGGTGGGCAGAATGACGGTCGACGCCGAGAGGAGAACCAACGACCAGAGGACCAAGAACCTGTCGGCATCATACGGACTATCCTCGGCAGCCCCTATATAGGAGGAGACTCAAGGAGATCCCAGAAGGACTACGCCCATGAGGCCAGAAGGGTTTACCAAGAAAGATTCTGGAGTGTATCCGCTGCAAAAACCCCAAGATATAGCAGTGTCGACGTGGCGTTTAATGAGGACGACGCCAGCGGAGTTCACTTCCCCCATAACGATGCGTTAGTAGTGGAGGCTATGATTAGGAACCACACTGTATGCCGAATCATGGTAGACAATGGGAGTTCGGTGGACCACCTGTACTCCGACTGCTTGGAAAAGATGGGGATCCGAAAGGAGCAGTTAGAGAAAACCTCCAGGCCATTATACGGTTTCACCGGGGACTCCGTCATCCCTCAGGGGACTATCCGATTGCCCATAACCGCCGGAGAAAAACCCCGACAGACCACGACAATGGCCAACTTTGTGGTAATAAAATGAGGCTCTCAATACAATGCTGTAATCGGGAGACCGACCCTTCAGGCGCTGAGGGCAATAACTTCCGTCTACCACCAAAATGTCAAATTTCCTACCCCAAACGGCGTAGGTGAGATAAAGAGCAACCAGTACGAGGCTAGGGTTGCATACTCTGATGCCCTGCGTGGATACGACCAGCCAAGACGACAGGAGGCGAGGATGGTCTACTAAAACACCGTTGAAGACATAGTCCCCAGGGCTCAAGAGGAGGTCACATGGTCCCAACCCATCGAGCAATTGGTGGAGATCCAAGTTGATGAGGGCGAGCCAACTAAAGTACTAAAAATGAGCTCAGACCTAGCCTTATCACTTAAGATTAAAATCGAAGACTTCCTCAAAAAGAACTTAGATATCTTTGCCTGGAACCATGCTGACATGGAAGGGATCGACGCTGAGGTTATATGTCACTCCCTGAACGTTGACCCCTCATATCCTCCCAAACGCCAGAAGCGTCAACTAATGAACCCAGAGAGGTATGAGGCGCTGAAAGAGGAGGTCAACAAATTGATCAACAACGGGTTCATCAGGGAGGCCCATTACCCGCATTGGGTCTCAAACCCCGTTCTGGTGGTCAATCCTAACGGAAGCTGGAGAACATGCGTCGACTTCAGCGATCTCAACAAAGTCTGCCCGAAGGATGGCTTTTCACTCCCTCGAATAGGCCAGATGGTCGACGCCACAGCAGGACATGAAATGCTGAGTTTTATGGATGCTTACTCCGGGTACAACCAGATCCCCATGCATCCGGCCGACGAGGAGCACACATCCTTCATAACCGATAGGGGTCTCTACTGCTACAAGGTGATGCCTTTTGGCCTAAAGAATGCAGGGGCTACCTACCAAAGGCTCGTGAATAAGATGTTCGCTCGACAGCTCGGTAAATCAATGGAGGTCTACGTCGACGATATGCTTGTAAAAAGTGCCAGGGCCAACCAACATGTCGACCATATGGGTGAAATGTTCGGTGTACTAAGAAAATACCACATGAAACTAAATCCCCAAAAATGCGCCTTTGGAGTTGGGTCAGGGAAATTCCTTAGTTTCATGGTCAGCAACCGGGGGATAGAAGCTAACCCTGAAAAGATTAAAGCCTTGTAGGATATGCGATCCCTGACTAAACCAAAAGAGGTGCAAAGGTTGACAGGATGCGTCGCCGCCTTAAACAGATTTATATCGAAAGCAACAGACAAGTGCGTCCCCTTCTTCGATGCTTTGAAAGGGAGTAGGCGTTTCGAGTGGACACCACAATGTAAAGAGGCCTTCCAGAAATTGAAGGAGCATTTGGGCAAGCCCCCAATCCTGTCAAAGCCCAACCCCAACGAGGAGCTTAGCCTATACCTCTCCGTGTCCCAACACACCGTAAGCTCCGTACTAATAAGGGAAGAAGAAAGGGTATAGTTGCCAATTTACTATGTGAGCAAAAGACTCCTCGACTCCGAGTCAAGATATACCGAAATGGAACGCTTGGCCATTCCCCTTATGGTAGCTTCAAGGAAGCTTCGGCACTATTTCTAATCTCACACAATACGGGGTTCTCACAAACCATCCGTTGAGACAAGCACTACGAAAGCCTGAAACTTTTGGTCAACTTCTCAAATGGTCGGTAGAGTTAACCCAGTTCGACATTAAGTATGCACCAAGAACAGCGATCAAGGGCCAAGCGTTGGCCGATTTTCTGGCCGAGTTCTCCCATAGACCGGCTCCCACCACGCCAGAAGAAGTTGAAAATATAGAATGGAAGCTCTACGTGGATGGAGCGTCGAGCGATAACGGGTCAGGAGCCGGCATCCTGTTGATTAGCCCAGAAGGCCACAAGATAACCTCAGCGGTTCGATTTAAATTCAAAGCATCGAACAACGAGGCAGAATACGAGGCGCTAATTACGAGGTTGCGATTGGCCAGTCACTTAAAGATTAAGAGGCTCAGCATCTTCAGCGACTCTCAGTTGGTCGTCGGGCAAGTGAAAGAAGAATACCAAGCACACGGTGAGAAAATGGGTGCATACTTGAGAAAGGTGAAGGAAGAACTCATCAAGTTCAAAAACTACGAGATACTTCAAATACCACGAGCCAAAAATGCAAACGCCGACGCTCTATCAAAGCTAGCATCTTCAAAAGATTCCGACGCACTAGGGGTCGTTCCCATCGAAGAACTGGAGCGGCCTACCATTGAGGAAGTAGCTAAGGCACTAATCGTCCAAACAGGTGAAAATTGGATGACGCCACTCATCCAATACCTAATGGATGCACAACTACCGAACAATAGAGACGAAGCCAGATGGATCAGGTATAGAGCTGCCAGATACTTATTGTACGACGGTTTGCTTTACCGACGAGGCTATTCGACACCTCTACAGCGATGCCTGGATGATGACGAAGCCCAGAAGGTCCTTTGAGAAATTCATTAAGGAGTCTGCGGTAATCATACTGGGGAGCAGTCTTTAGCTCTTAGGGTTTTGAGGCAAGGATACTACTGGCCCACGCTAAAAAAGGACGCTTTCCAATACGCCTGACGTTCTGATAAGTGCCAAAGGTTCGGGGTTCCCCACTCAATAGTATCCGACAATGGGAAACAATTCGACGAGGCCTCAACACGCAGATTCTGCGACAGCCTGGGCATTCGAAAAAACTTCTCGGTGCCGATCCATCCACAATCTAATGGGCAAGTCGAGGCAATCAACAAAATATTGAAATATACCCTAAAAAAGAGACTCAACGATCTAAAAGGGAAATGGGCCGAAGAATTCCCCAAGGTCTTATGGGCGTACCGAATGATGAGCCGAACTACCACGGGTGAAACACCTTTCTCCGTGGCATATGGCGTTGAGGCAGTACTCCCTGTAGAAATTGAAACGCCGACCCTAAGAACCGTCATCCACAACGACGACGATAACACAGAAGGCATGAATGGAGAACTCGACTTGTTAGAAGAAAAAATGCTCGACTCTCAACTATGTTTCGCCACCTATCAGCAAAGAGCAGCACGATATTACAACAAGAGAGTTTGACAAAGGAGGTTCGTCCCAGGAGACCTAGTATTGAAAAGGGTAACGCAGAGTACAAAGCCCAAAAATACCGGTCCCCTGGGCCCGACTTGGGAAGGGCCCTACCGCATAAGGGAAGTGCCGCGTCCTGGCACCTACAGTTTGGAAAGCCTCGACGGCAAGAGAATTCAACACCCATGGAATGCAGAATAGCTAAGGCTGTACTACTAATAGTGTATGTAATTCTCACGCATCCCAATTGTACATTCTTTACTGTTTAAATAAATTGATATGTATGCATAAGGAAAGGAATTCACCCCTTAATAACATGTCTGCTTAAAAAACTAAGGTATATTAAAAAGACATGGGGGGCAGAGGTCCACGGATCGCTAAAAATGACACAATGATCCCAAGGGGTGAAATCAGCGTCGACTCCTCCAAGGAGGAGAGGCGAACACTTAACAAAATTCTAAGGAATTTTTTTAGACAAAAACCCCAAGGGGTGAAATCAGCGTCGACTCCTCCAAGGAGGAGAGGCGAGGCGAACACTTAGCAAAATTCTAAGGAATTTTTTTTTTTTAAAAAAACCCCAAGGGGTGAAATCAGCGTCAACTCCTCCAAGGAGGAGAGGCAAACACTCAGCAAAATTCCAAGGAATTTTCTAAAGACAAACGACCCCAAGGGGTAAAATCAACAACGAATCCTTCAAGAGGGAGAGGCGAATGCATAATAACAATGAGCAAGGTATGAAATCTACTGTCAATCTACTGTATTTTTATAAAACACAAATGAAATAAAAAGAGGTCCAAACCAATGTCATATAAGTTACAGACAGCAGTACAAAAAAAATCTCTTTAGGCGTCGCCGCCAACCGCCGAGTCATCACCAGGCGGGGAAGAGTTGTCATCACCAGCAGGAGAAGGAGCATCATAAAGAAAGCTCAAATCCCACTCAGGATGCTCTTGTTTTATCAAAATGACGATTTGTTGACTAGCGGATTGAAAATCCTTGGTACGAATGTCGATGAGCTCCGGAGAAGCCTTGAACTCCTCAATAATCTCTGCACGCTTGGCATCAAATACTGCTGCAGCCTCGGCTTCGGCTTCCTTCTTCCCCTCAGCTTTCCCTTCAGCAAAACATCTTTTCACCGCCTCAGTTGCTTCGGCCAACTTCGCCTCAGACATATCTGCCTGCTTCGTGAGGTCTGCAATCGCAGCAGTTAGCTTGGCCAGTTCATCCTCCAAACTCTTCAGTTTGGCCATGACCACATCTCTCTCCTCGACGGCATTCGCATACTGACTTTGAGCATCATCGAGAAGAGAGTTAAGCTTGGCCTCTATGCCGTCCATCTCCTTATCACGCTCCTCAACCTTTACTAGGTCGAGAAGGTTGAGGATGGCGAGGATTAGGCCCTAAAAAAGTAGAGGTCAGAAAATACAAGCGGCGAAACCAGTAAAAAGCAGCTCGATCGAGTCTTACGTGAATTTGGAAAGAGATCTGCTTTCGCTGACGATCAACCAAAGAAGATTTAGTGGCAGCAATCCAGTGCGGCTCGAGAAAAGACTCATGTAGAGCCTGGAAGACAAGGGAGAAGCGAGGGGGAAGTTTCAGCATTGCCCCAATCTCGGCATCAGAGATGTCCGGGACTTGGAAATTGGGATCCATGATTTTTGCCCCCAGGATAAGCACGCGTTCCCTCGGCGCCGGAGGAACATTGACATCAGGAATGGGGACCGTCGGCGTCCAAGTTTCTACCACCGACGTCTTCTCTTTGCGCCTCCTTTTCGGCGCATGATCCACCTCTGACACTGAAGGGCCCTTTGTGGTCTTCTTTGTCCTCGGCGCCTGGGAAAAAGAACTAGCTTTCTCCTTTCCCTTAGAAGGGGGTTGTCGGCTCGGTGGGGGCTGCTGGCTTGGCTCAGACGGCTGACTACCGGGAAGCTGGATCCTCAAAGATGCCATTTCTGCAGAAACAACGAGACAGAAATATAGTCGACGCTTGGATAAACAAAATACCATTATAAGAAAGGCATCGAGAACAGGGGTTTACCTTCGTCGCTTAAATGGAAGTATTCACGGACAGCGTCGAGGTCAGTAGGGTCTGGGAGATCGAGAATTAACCCAGCACTTCGAAGATTGGCCTTGGTCAGGAGGGTGTCAATATGGCGAACCTCGGACGGGAACGAGAAGGCCTTCTTAATCCTCGCCAAACTATTTCCAGAGAACTTTGACCGGTCCTGGCTGACTGTAGGATAAAAAGACTGTCAGCGTAAGAAGAAAGAAGCGAAGTAAGGTAAAAGAAAGGGAATCAATGTCTCGCCCATGCTCCCAAATGACGCATGCACCTTCCTTCGGCGGGACAAGCGGTCGTCGGGATGAAAATTAAAGGGCCCGCGTATCATAAAAAACATGGGTTTCCACCCATGTGACGATGAGGGAATGCCCAGTATTAGCTTGCCAAATCTGGGCTAAGATCTCCCGTGCCCACTCAAAAAATACCACCCCTCGTACTTGGCGACATGACACAGTCTGTACATAAATCTAAACTCATCCAGAGGAAGATCCATGTCAAACTGCTGGTTCCACAAAATCCAGGCGCCAGCAAAGCAGTACCAGAAATTTGGCGCTAATTGGGCAGGGGAAATGCCATAAAAGTGGCAATAATCTTTTACAAAGGGATGAACCGGAAGGGTCATCCCTGCTGTAACGGCTCTGGTATAGACAGGGAGGTATCCGGTCGGAGGCATACTAGTCCTAAAATGCATGTCTGGGAGGAGGTATTCGAACCACCTCCCGTCAATGCATCCTTCCTTCACCGCCCGGATAATGTCCTTATTTCGGACTCTCGATGCCACGATGTCAGCTGTGAAGAAAGGCCTGTCCGGGTCACCACTCATGGCAGCCAGGGGGGCATCCACCAGCGAGGCAGCCACTCCGCTTACACTGCCCCCTGTAAACGGAATTCGGTCAACCACTTCATCTAACATATGTTCTACACTACCAAACTCGCTACCAAAATCGTCGGTTGGTCCATACATGGCCTCGGCGTCTTCTACTTCCCTCAGCAAGGAGTCGACGCCTGAAGAAGAAGAAGAAGACCATGAAATCTCCACCACAGAAGGGGAGTCTGGACGGACAACGGAGGGATCCTCTCGACGGGGGGAGTTTTGGGCCATTATTCTGGTGATTAAAAAGACAAGGAACTGAGTTAAAACCCTAACGTCGAGAGGAAGAACAAAAAGACGGTCATTCTAAACGATGACTGCTCAAACGCCTCAACATAACGTCGATCGTTCATGTAAGAATGGTAACGGTGAATGTTCATGGTAGCCCAAGTTCACCAGAACCCAGGAACTAGAAGCACACAGACAACCACAAAGCCATAAAAAGAACTATCCTATGCGGACAAACAAAATGAAGTAAGTCTCTCTAACATCTACATTTCGCATATTGACACATGCATGTGATTCAATAGGGAAAACCCGTAAGAAACGATACAAGCAAAGGATGGTGAGGCTTACCGGTAAGAAGGATTCCAGGCAAGGTCTGGGACTAAGGCAGCTTCGTAACACGCCAAGCAACACAAGGAATGCGAGTCAGGGCTCATGGGGAAGAATTCCGGCAGAGCAAACGGCAGTTCAACGAAAGTGAAATATGTTTGTGTTTGAGGAAAATGGTCTCGGTTCATAAAGGTATTTAAGGGGAAGAAAATCCTTGACTCCTGACTGTCGGATGAAATTCATAGAGTCCAACGGCAAGGGAAACCCGCCCAGATCGGACAATGACAGACGAAGGCGGGAAAATGAAGGGGCGCAATCCAAAGGCTCACGTTCGTCCTTTCGAAATAAGGCCCCACGTCAGCATAGGGAAGTGACCGACGCGACAGTTGCGTTCCTCAAGAAAATCTGAAGCATCCAGACCATCATTGCGGACGAAGGCTCGGGATCGGTTTCCCACACCTGAAGCACGGAAGGACGACCGAACCTAAGCTCGAGGCTGTCTAAAAGAAACCCTCGACCTGGGGGTAGCTGTTGTGGGGGAAAATATGGAGGACGCGTGGAGGAATGACAATATGACACGTGACCCTAATTTCTCCTCGCAAAGCAACAACCCTCGACGTCTGGAACTCCCTTCTATTCCGTCGCGAAGAGCCCAAACAGGAAGTCCAACTTGGGGTGACGATTTCATCTAGCGTCGACAGGACGTACCGTCGACCTTACAACATAGAAATCCCTTGCCATAAAGTCCACCGCCAAGAAGGACAATTGGGCTAAACAACACTGGCGACGAGGAGAATGCTCCTTGGGGGAAAGCCTGACGTGGCAAGTTGTGTACAGTAATGAGGGATGTCTGCAATGCAGGCATTAATTGCAAACCCTTAAACCGCCCCACGGGGGACAGAAAAGGGATACAGGTACGCACAGAGCCGTAATAGGAGACTAATTGGCTGAGTGAACAGTACTCTAAGTGATTAGTGGACTACGTCTGGGCCTAAAAAGGAAGAGCACTCGAGTGCTTCTACCTACAAAGGAAACCCACCCAGCGAAGGAAGCTCTAAATATAAAAGAGGCAAAGCCCCATGCAAAAGAGGTTCACGTAAAAAAAGAGGGAAAAAAAGCAAGAGAGCAATTGATGTAAATTGTAATCATCTCAAAAAGAATATACAACCACAGTGGATGTAGCTCTGATTTTATAGAGTGAACCACTATAAAATCTCTTTGTGCTCATTTACTTTAGAGTATTATTCTTTCAAATTGCCCATCCCTCTAAAAACATCAAACACCTTCGGTACAAAACTCTTACATAAAACCTATATTAAAGCCGGTAATTCGACAGGAAACCTAGAGGTAACCCGGCCTGTTTTTGTTGATGAAAATTCACCGTCAACAGTTAGCATCCATTCAGACAGTGTTTGAGTTTATGGAACTCACCGACAGGGAGAAGATTCAGTGCGCCGCTTTCGTATTAAAGAAGGATGCCCGCTATTGGTGGGAAGCAGTATGCGCTAGAAGGAATGTGAGACA